CTGCGTGCCGACTGCAGACTTGAGAATTTCATACATAATAAAACATATTTAGAAAGATTTCAGACTATTTAGCACAGATAGACAAAACATTTCATCCATAAATACTTCAAAAAACACAATCCATGATCTCTTATGGCGGCGGAAAATAAAGGCAATTCTGCAATAACGACAAATCGCAAATTGAATGACTACCTGAAAATCTATAAATAAGTCATTCTGTGCTAAATAGTCTAAAATAAAGAATAACTTTTTTTGACGGGAGTATGGATGCAGGAGCTTCAAAAATATAATTTTGTACCTCGGTGTAATAAAAACACAGATATATTGCAATGGTGGAAAATTTATGCTTCTGAATTTCCCATTCTAAGTTTGATGGCACGAGATCTCTTAAGAATACCGGCTAGTTACTTACTTTTCAATAAATAATGTAATTTTTGTTGTTATTTGGTCTTCCTACTTCTACATTATACCTAGAAAGGAGGTAAAGGTGAATATCCCGTACTAGACTGAAACAAAATTATGCATGACGATATTGCGATACATCTGCGAGACTCTCGTACGAGACGCGAGACAAGACGAGACTGGAGGCTGCGAGACGAGACTCGAGACAAGACTAAATATTTCATCGACGAGACGAGACGAGACTTTATGGAAGTCTCGTCTCGTTGGTCTCGTGTGAATCACTATGCACATTTATTAAATGAAACATGTGCCTTTGTTATGGCGAACTCAGCAGAGCCAGTTTTGAAAAATTCAATATTTCCAGTAAGTCGCTACATTGGGTTTCAAAGGCATATAACCTCCAGAAATTCAAGAGGAACACCAATTCCTACCTTATTTTCTATGTATCTCACGATGTTCTCTGAACATTATAGGATATATCCCTTTCCGTGGGAACCAGAGCATGAAAAAAGCCCAACAATGGCCTACAGTTTCACATTATCAAATCATCGAGAAAAATTGTTTTGCAAAAATGGCATTCCTGAGTTCGCCCGGAGTACGCTGCCCGGAGCTAGCAAAGTCACAGATTTCTTTGTGAAGGGAATGAAGATGATAAATGAGCCTTAAATAAGCCCCACAATGGCCTACAGTTTCACTCTATCAAATCATCTCAGCCTCTTCAGTTTATACCATCCAGTGACTCTAATTTCAGTGGGTTCTGATTCCTGACTCATTATTCGATTTGATAACATGGAATTGTGCTTGGAATTGTATATGTTCCACAAATTGAATTACTACTAGGTAATAAACAAAACTAATATGTGAAATGATTTGGAAACTCCTTTCATTTCTGGACAGGTGATTTTGAATGAGGTGGAATTGAGGCTATTTGGTGCACTCTCGTTAAACCGTCAATGATAATTTAGTCATGTGGTGTTTTTTTGTCAATCGGTTGAATATTCGTGATTCTAGATGGAATAATGATTTAACAAGTACGAATATAAATTGAAATCTGTTGTTATACGTGGAAATTACATCAAGATCAAACAATCAAAATTATGCTTGCTAATATCTCGTCGATTGTTGAGCAGTTCAGACCATTGAACCGCTTAGTGAATATGGTCAGCCAAGTGACGCATGAGCCGTATTGACGAATTAACTACCAGGAGGAAGCAGAGGATTCCAGACGATTTCATTATAATTCAAAGGTCAACTATCCATTTATTTCATTATAATACTATCATTTAATCAAATTCAACTCAATAAATTGATCAATTTTGAATTCTGGTTGATACACATATCAAAAAAATAATCCATCTACTCCCAAATATCGATGAGATTAGCTCATCAATATTATAATTTTGTTTTCTGAGATAAGATTCCATTCTGCTATTCTTCATAGCATAGGTGAATGAAATTGAATCTGTTACAAGTCAACATGTCGAGAAAATTTCGTAATCTTCACTATACAAGGTTTTTTTATGTTCTGGTTCTCACGAAAAAGGATATCCTGTGATGTTCAGAGAACATTGTGAGGTCCAGGGAAAATGAGGAAAATTTGGTTGGAATTGGTGTTCTTCTTGAATTCATGGAGGTTATAGCCTCGGAGAACACCTCCCTTGTCAATGTGTTCAAGAGCCTCGCTGTTCGTTGGAACGAGTCTTTGGAAAGAGATGTTCTGCAGGTCTCCAAAGTGACCACGAAGTGGTGCGAAGCCTCAACTCGACGGGTTAATCTCGCGAGAACTGCCATGAAAATATCTATAAAATGGTGCCAGATCGCCAACTTTTTTACGGTGTTCCAGAGAAGTGAGTGAGTTTGTGAGCGAGGCATCACCCACGAGACTAATTGCCCACTTTTGGACAGAATCAAACAGTTTCAGGGTATGTTTGGGAGCTGCACTCCAAATATGGGAACAGTATTCCAGGACAGGTCGGATATGTGCCTAATAAATCATAAGCAGCTGACTGAAAGGGAGATAGATCCTGGCTCGAAACAAAAAAAAACTAGTTTTCGGAACACCGTAGGGAAGTCGCGAGAAAGTCGGCGACCTTATTCTTTTCTATAGATACTCTCAATAGAAATGTTCTTCAGAAATCTTGGCTATCATCCAAACAATGACAATACAAGTCAGACGAACCCGGCAAGCCCATAGTTACTACATAATTTTGTCGTCAACCTCGAGATATATGAAACAACTCTCTATCAGAACTCGTTTGTCTATAGAACGGTAGAGCTTTAGAATGCAATGCCAATGATAGTATTCCTGGAAAATTCTAACCTCCGAAAATTAAAATGAACTTTCAATGCCTATACCTTCTCTCCCTATCCATATTAGGTAACCAAGATGTTCCCCGTCATTCGCTCCTGCAAAAGCTCAGTTCGCAGGTCACGGTCAGTTTGGACTAATTATTATCACCATGGAAAAACATTCAAGATGTAGATTTTCTCTGAAACTCTCGAACCATTTTCAATGAGCAAATTATTGAAAAAAAAAAGAGAATTAACTGGGTGTAACCAATAGGGCACTTCATTATATAGATTCAAATAGATTGATTCGAATTCATGGAGTTGAAATCACACATGTGTCAACCTGGCTTCATTTCTTGAAATTTCAATTAGTGTCTGATTCCACTCGAATTTCCCAATGCTACAATGGAGAGGATCATCGAATCGAACTTGAAATAACAATGTTATTGATGCATGATTATTTTTACGATGAGTGTATGTCAGTATCTCTCTCCATATTGAACAATATGTTGTGTTCATATGTCAAGTAATCAAAGATAATTAAATTGCAAATGATACGATTATTGCGAATAATGTGACTTGACACCCAAGGTCACAATTTTATCTGGAATGAACTCATATTTTCATCATAGCCAATGAGGCACCTGACTGACATGATTCATTCAGTTTTAATAGACGAATTTATACTTTTCGTTTCTCGTCGAATGATTCGTGGACCAATAAATGTTTCCCTCATTCGCTGCAATAGATTCAAGATATAAGAAAGTGCTCTGAACATTAACTTGTTTCTGATTATTTTCCTACACAAAGAATTGAGATGAGGTTTTTGTATGAAACAAATTTGTATATCGCTACTTCAAAGTTGAGAACCAACTCCCCATAAGTCGAAACTGTTGCGGAGTTAGGAAGAGCGGGACCTACAGCTTATAGTGGAACCGAACCACTCTTAGGGCATCGAGGTGTTGCCAGGAAAACAACCATGAACCACACATTTTGAGGGAAAATGCTCAGCCGATCGCCGGATTCGAACCGACAGTACCTTCGCATCGTGAACGGCTATCTAGCGAATTTCAGCGCATAGACAAACTCGGTTACGGCGAGTATATGATATATCAAAATATACGCAAGAGATAGATAGGCAAAATAGTCATTTATGTACCAAAGACGAAACACTGCCTATTGAAGTCGAGTCTACAAATTGAAAGCAGAGGCCCCAGCAGAGGCTAGCAATCAGGCGAGACAATAGACAGTTTTTCGTAGAGGTGCATATTACATTTTTCCTCGGCCTCAAACACCTATATTCACATCACGGTCTTATCCACACGTGAAATTTATCGGATTTCGTAAATAATTAATTTGACAATCAAATGACAGTTGTTGTCAACTCTATCTTCGCGCGGACTCTGATTGCCAGTTTGATTCTCATTCCGAGAGTGAGTACCTTGTTAAATATTCATTAGATCCCAGTAGATCTGTTCAAGATCTATTCTATGCTATACGAATTCCAAGAAATGATAATGATGACGTCAGAACATTATGTACTTTCAGTAAACAGAAAAGTAACCTATTTTCAGCAGAAAAGAATCAAACAAAACAAACATTCTCATACAAAAATATCACAAAGTACATTACATTGGTACTCATAAAATTCGAGTATATAAATAACAAGGACGAATAGTGAAAATTAAGAACAAAAATACAAAACAAATTAAGGAATTGAACGTGAGAAAAAAACTGTGATAACAGATCATTATTAAAAGTTGAATTTGATCTGAATCAGAATAATTATTGGATATGAGGTCCTGTTGTAATAATATTCCTACTACCAACGTGTATATAAAATTGGTTCTGTGTAACTGAAATATTGGACACCATTGTCACCATTGTCAATATGGAAGCACTTGTTTTCAATTTCAATTGAAATCTAGTAGTCATGACCATATTATGCTGTCATACATATGCCATGAGTCGTTATCGATAAATGCCTACTAGATTCGAGTGCTATTCCTGCGAATCTTAACTACAGGTGGTGATTTCGGGTTTATCATAACACAGGTGGCAATGCCTTGAAAACTAACTAATTGTCCATGAAATGGCAAAAACTACTTTGGTAGAGACAACACACTATAATCCTTGAAAAGGAGTACATAATGATAGTTTCTATAGCTGGTGTTGAAAAAACCGTTTGAACTACCAAGTCCATAGCTTATTCTCAAAATCACGTCTTCTGTTAGCTATCTCAATAAGGTTCCCATAAACCTGCTAGATAACCATGTACAAATGAATTGAAAATCTGTTTTTTTTTTCAGTATGCCATTGTCCTCCTCACCATCTTCATCCTGCAACTAGCAGTTGGAATATATGCATTCTTACAAATCAGAGACAAACCCACTTTCAATCAAGCCATCCATGACAACGTCGAGAAAACATTCAATAAGATGTACCAAAGCACAGAAGCGAACGAAACCATGCAGGTCACACAGAGATTTGTAAGTTTCAAGCATATGGATAAAGAATTAATGAACATTTTTCTAGATGTGTATTGAAAGCAATTGCTCAAGTGCATCAGAATTATCGATAATTTGTATGAATGCGGGATACATATTTTATATATCTGAAATATTTATATCAGGTGCATACTGCTAAGAATAGGAAAAACGTATTTCCTGTTGTCATTTTGTTTTTCCAATATAATCGAATGAATGGTTTCAAATATCGAGACATCTCCTTATTGACTTTCGAACCATGCCAAGAAATTTGAAATTTGTGGACATCGACTTAACAATCATTTTTTCATCATCATTACTTCCAGATGAGTCAGCGATGGTTCGTACGCATATGACTTTCAGTTGAATATTTGTTCTGAGAAGTATCATTACCGTACGATGATTACTACAATATGTCCGTGGCTTATAGCAGGAAAAGAGAAACTGCAAATGTAAATTTCCCGAAAAGGATTTGAATAGCTCTGTGTAAGGTATATTTTTCGAATTTTATTATATTCACAATGGCGAAAATGACGTCAGAAAAATTATTTGCCTCACAAAATTACCATTTTCTTCCAAATATTCTGGAATAACATAGTCATGTTCTTGTACAACTTTCATCCTATAAGTTTTCTCCTACCTTCATATGCCCAAAAGCTATGAGACTCTGAAATTGATTTTCTTAAATAAATCTCAACTCACCATGCGGTAATAATAGTCAAGTCGGACGGGTTTCATGAATGCAAAATGTATCTTATATTGTTTACAAAACAATTTGTTTCTTGGCCGACTTGATTTTAATCACGGCGGGGTCAGTGGGTAGAGATTTGTCTGAAATTGCCAATTTCAGGGTTCCGTAGCTATCAAACAAAAAATTAAGAGAGAACAAAATTGTTGAATGAAAGTTGTTCGAATAAATATGTTTTTTTCTTAATGGAAAAAATTTCAACTTTGTGGAAAAAAAATATATTTTTTACACTATTTCCGTCATTTTGAAAAAGGTTTAGAAACGTTTGAATTCGAAAAAATATACCATACTCACAGGTTTTCCAATTCCTCCTGCCAAATTTTCATTTTTGCAGTTTTCCTTTTTCTGTCTTGAGCCAAGGGCAGCGGATTTGTATCACCCTGTAGAGTGTACCCACACGCAGAAGTGGCAAGTTTAGTTGAGTTCAATCCAGTGGTTTTCAGAGTGGAATAAAGTATCGAGTACCTACCATCAAAAAAAATTATGCGCTACAGTCGAAATTTTTGTTTCGGTGGAGGTCAAATGCATTCAAATTAGGAGATGAGGACAATCATTATTTTGCACAAGCTGCAAACTCATATTATGTATAGTTCAGTGAGGTTGGATTCTCAGATCATTTCGTCGCTACGATCAATATGGACTTTCGTGAATAATCGAATAACTCTTTTAATTTCAATGTGCATTTAGGAAGCAAATATCACGAGTTGAAATGCACAATGTAGCTGATGTGGTGATAAATTCGAATTCGCGTTAGCAACTTCTTTCAGAAGCGTTTCGAACGATCCTGAACAAAAGAGACATCATTGAAATATCGAGTCACTATTGACCTCAACAGTAAACGCCTTCACACAGTAATAATTTGATATAATATCCATAGACTCTTTCTGATGAAAATATGTGCAGACCTTAATTGAACAAGAACATACTGCTGCCTCACCACGCAAGTGCATATATCATACATCTTTCTATTGGTCTCAATTCATAATAACCATATATTCCACTCTCGATAAGACGTAGATCTGATTATACACCTGGAATTTCGAGTTTGTAGTATACGAAAGAGTACAGAAGATGGCCATAAGTGCAAAGTAATAACCGTGCTGTAACGGAATAAGTACCTGAAATTGGTTCCTATATACCTATGTCTTCGAATAACAGCTTATTGCCTAATAATTTTGCCGAATGACATTGTAAATCAGAACTCTCGAGCCGTAGGCGATAAGTTTTGAAATAATGTCATGAACGAAATTGAAGCAGCAAGCTGGAGTTTGTCAATCGACGAATATTTCCAAGAAAAAAAGTGTCACGAGTTGTATTCTTATGAGTATTCCTTGATTGAGACAATAAACGAGCATCTCGCGAGAGTTGCGCACACTGCATCCATCATTTTGACTTTCGACATAATTGACGTTTCAATCGTCCAAAATTTCATCGCTGAAAGACAAGGAAGGTTGGTTACGTTTGGGTCTATTCGGCTCCTGTATTGGTAGAGCAAGTTCGAGGAAATTCAGTAAACGGAAGAATATCGCTGTAATAGAGAAGAACCCGGAAAATGGCGATTATAATTGATTCTGAAGACCAAGAGTGGAATTGTTAGTGGAAAATATTGAATTTCTCACTTCGAAGCCCTTTTGAAATGAAAATCATCAATCCATTTTCAATTCTTTTTGATTTCAGAGTGTTCTGTTTGAATGAAAGATCAAGAATATATTTTTCTCGATGTAGGAGATTGAATATGGAGGTTTTGACTTGGAAATGTGAATGCATTATCAAAAATAATATTTTGAAGCAAGTGCACTGTCTTCTTTCAAACATTTGATATCCACTGTACATCATGAGCAAAAATAAAAGTTTGGCAAAACACTTCCTTTTTCTAAGAAGAAACTTCACGATAACGCCTTTGTTCCACGCATAAAAGTGAGACTTATATTTTCAATGCTCATTCAGCTCCACGGAAATCAACATCTTGTTTCATTGTCATTGTCTGACCTGGATTTCGTCATTTTAATTTTTTTTTGAGGGTAATGGTCACCCTGTTGATCTTTCTGTGCGGAAAATAACCAAATTGACTTAAGTGGATGATATCGATGATACTTCAGTTTCTCCTCTATTAAGGGGTAGAAGACGAGGTAAATATTTGAAATTCCAGAACGGACTCCGTCTTTCTCACTAAATATCTCCGCCTCGCTCGTTCGATAGGCGCATCTTATTACCGCGATGAAGACATACGAGGGGATGTCCAAGATTATTCGAGAGCGAAATATAGAAAAGTGAAGGGTTTTTAGATGCTGTGAGATAAGTTGCCGTGAATTTTTTTCTCACGATGATTTCATCAAAATTCTCTTGATCAATTCACCATATTTCTCGACTTTTCAGTGGAGTAGGAATTTCCACAAGGATACAAGGATTATATTGTTATTGAATATATTCATCAGTTTGCTGTATATTGACCGATATGGGGAAGATGCTATTAGAAACTATAGGACAAATTCGATATACAGGGCGATTCATGAAGAGACTCACATGGCCAAATGGTGAATAGGGGCAAACAAAACAAGTTGAGATTCCATGTATGAAAGATTCTGTTGGCCTTCAATAACGAAGATTATTATGTGAAATTGCCATATTATAATTTCAATGGCCGACATTTCAGATATGATTCATCCCAATTAGGCAGCGACATTTCTTTATTCAACATGGCATATTACAAAAAAATCAGATCCGAAAAATTCATGTTCTCTTGTTATATAGAAAAAGCTCATTTTATGATCAGTTTTCTAGAAACATTTCATCAGATTCAGGAAGATCAGACATAATGCCATTAGAACTGCTCTTCAATTTGCACGACACACTTTGATCGGTTCATTAAAAAATATGAAACAAAAACGTTCGAATGAATTTTCAATCTGAACCTAGCTGATAACTCTCTCATTTCAACTGGATTTATGTGAATTTACGATAGAAATCGACAGATATAAGTAGTTGATAAGAAACCACGGAACTGCTTTTTTGGTGATTTGAAATGTTCGTTTTTGATCGACATCGTGACTTGTTTCGATTTACAAATATCAATGAAGTTATAATGAAATAGTATAGGCGATGTTTTTCATCATTTGACGTGACGTGACATCTGTTGATAATCCGAAAAGATGGGTACTGGTGAGATTATGGCATGAAGATTTCACGAAAGTGTGCTGCTGGGCAACACCACGACGAGTGGTATTTCAACACAATTGAGTTAACAATGAAAGACAGAATCATGAGAACATATTCAGAACGGAGTTGTTATTTGCTAGAGAGACAATTTCTTATAAATGAGCGATTCGTATTCTGACGACAGATATAATTATTTTATGCCAAACTGACAGACTTTGCTCCGCTATCCATGGTTACATCTTCGAAAACACCAACGCTGATAGACCAATCAGAATTGAAAGACCGCTTGTGTTTTCGCGATTACACACACATGTGATGTGATTGATCAGATTATGTAATAAATGAAATTAGTATATTGCTTAACGAGCACGGAAAGATAGTGATTTCCTACGAGAATAAAGTTTGCAGCATGAGCCGTATTGGCGAATGCTGCCATAATTTTTTTACGGCTATAATAGATAACCGCAACATTTTCGATTTCTTCGTCTTGTAGCCATTCGATTTCCTGTCAAGTAATGCTCATCTATCAGACAGCGATGTCATTGCTTCACATTTGACATTCCATGAGCGATGAGATTTTTTTGATACACGATGGAGTCATTGTGATATCAGATACGGAAATAATATTGATGATATACAAAGTACCTCATTGACGCATCGAACACAGTAACACAAGGGCAATTGTGTGTTATAGCCGTAGAAAGGTACATATTCATGGGTCTGTAAATCTTCTATGTTATTGAACATTGCAAACATTTGAACTTTCTCCATATTCAGCATTTGAAAAATAAAGTGACATCTTGAGTGCAAGAATCACACGTCACATCATGAAATAAAAAATAGGGCACGACTACTAATATCTATCTAGAATTTCGATCAAGAACTAACATTTCAAATCATCAAATAAATCAGTGTTATAGTGGTACTGTCCTTTTTCTCTTTCCTGTCAATTTTTACCCAACAAAAATGTACAAAAAATCTATTTACATGGATCCAGTTGGAAGTACTGTTTACTTCATCAGTCAGGTCGAAAAAAAAAAAAATTCATTCGAACGTTTTTGTTTTATATTTCTTCATTGAACCGGTCAAAGTGTCGTGC